GAGAAACTCAAGCCCAACTCGGTCTCTTAATCCTAATTTTATACAAAATTGATGTAAGTGGATTCTTTTTCTCTGCGTGCGTCGCAGTGTACAGTCTGACAGGGAATAAAGCTCTTCCACGGTGAACGGTTTGCTTTGAGCCTTACCATGCCCCAACATTACATAAGGATCACACATACTGTAGGCGATATCCTATTCATCAAACTGTGCAAATTATGCAAAAGTGGCTTTGGGAAAAATTCCAGGAAAATGTTGGTTTTTTTTTAAATCTTTCCCCATTTCTTCCTAATTAAAACCTCAGAAATAAAATGAATTCATGGCATGGGGGAAGACTTTTTGTTCACATTGTTTAGTATATCCCGGGCAAAGCTATGTACACGAATTGGAAAACACAGAAAATTGTTGACCGTTTTATCCCGTGGATGTCATTGTAACTTTACTTATGTTCAACCCAATAAAATATTTTGGGGAAAAAAAAGAAATAAAATGAATTAAAGTCTTATCTGCCCCATACAAAAACAATGTATGTTGTCCAGAACTAAAACATCTCAGGAATGTAAAAAAAGATGATGGGACTCAAAGGGGGCTATAAAGAGAAAAAGGCCCAGGGACTCGAGTGGTCGAAATAACTCATACCAGTTTTTTGTGTCCCTTTCACAAGTTCTTTTAAACTATTGGAAACATTTTGTTTTGGGGCTTCCAGAGTTTAAGGCCACTGCCTTGGAAGGAAACTAGAGATCAGAAAAGGCTAGGAAGGAGAAGGGTTGGCCTTGGATTGTTCTAAGAGGTTGACCTTGGATTGTTCTAAGCTGGGATCCAAGGTTGGGGTGGAAATTGGATTGTTCTAAATTAGGTTCCAAGGTTGGGGTTGACCTTGAATGGTTCTAAACTGGGATCCAAGGTTGGGGTTGACTTTGGATTGTCCTAAGCTGGGTTCCAAGGTTGGGGTTGACCTTGAATTGTTCTAAACTGGGTTCCAAGGTTGGGGTTGACCTTGGATTGTCCTAAGCTGGGTTCCAAGGTTGGGGTTGACCTTGGTTTGTTTTAAGCTGGGTTCCAAGTTTGGGGTTGACCTTGGATTGTTCTAAACTGGGCTCCAAGGTTGGGGTTGACCTTGGGATTGCTCTAAACTGGGTTCCAAAATTGAGGTTGATCTTGGATTGTTTTAAACGGGGTTCCAAGTTTGTGGTTGACCTTGGATTGTTCTAAGCTGGGTTCCAAGTTTGTGGTTGATCTTGGATTGTTCTAAGCTGGGCTCCAAGGTTGGGGTTGGCCTTGGATTGCTCTAAACTGGGTTCCAAGTTTGGGGTTGACCTTGGATTGTTCAAAACTGGGTTCCAATGTTGTGGTTGGCCTTGGATTGTTCAAGTTTTATACCCCGGCTCACTAAAATAAAGGCAGTAATAATGTAAAGTAAGCCTACCGGGAACTAATTAAAAAAAACACTGCCCACCAGAATTTAGCCAGATAACAGGCAGATAACCTCATGGTTTTGTAGTTTCTTGTGTCACCTAGCTTCCTAAACAATGAATTGACAATGACTTTCCCCTTGTCCGATGACCAGGTTGGAGGTGATAGGTGACACAGGAAGCTGCAAGGCTTAACCATGTAACAGGGGTGTCACCTGAGCAGTACACAAGAGTGAATTTTAGAAAATCCACTCTTCTGATATTTCAGAACAAGCCCCCGAGATTCACCTCGAACATTTCAACTGTATTCACTTGTTTTAAAGAAAATTATTTCCAAAACCTCAGTGCAGGGAAAGAAATTAACTTCCATAGAAGTACTGACACCTCTTAACTTCTATCTGAAATAAGATGTGCTAAGAAAAATAGTATTTTTTATTGTTATAATAATATTGTTAATATAATTATTATTATGACCTTCTGGGTACCTGTTCAGTTTTAAGAACATCTATGGCCATACCTCCTCTAAGAACCAGTCTCAGACAAGACCTCAGGCATTGCGCATTCCCACAGCCCTTCAATGAACGTTATTAGGCTCACAAGTCCCACAAATAACCGATGTAAATAAAAAGAAAATAAATATATACGTTGACATATCCATTTCTTTAGAAGAAGCACATCCTCCAACTTTTGATATTTGATGATGAAAAAAAGGGTGAAACTGGCCAAAAGCATTCAACCAGTTGCATTGCTGGTGACATTCTACATTTCCTCTAACAGCCTGTATCAGACAATACCTGAGGCTGTATGCATCCCGCGGTTGATCCATGGAAGGCAATGGGCTGTGTCCTGTGATACGTATGTATCCTGAGGTCCTTTTCAATCCAGAAGAACTAAATCATGCATCTTCTGATACTTAATCATAAAATATGGGTAACACTGGTCACTGTCGAAAATAATGAATATGGTTGGGTCTTTGGCTTTGTCCACGCAAGAGTCATAGAGAAGGCTTGAGGGACAGTCTTCAATTAACGGTGGTGGTCGGGTGTAGGTGGCGCTACCCAGTGCCGTATGTCCCACTAACACCTTGGCAAGGAACATAAAGTGGTGACCTTCAGGGGTGGCGTTAGAGTAAGTGTGAGAGTAACTGGCATCCTTGGCAAAGTAGCACCCTTTACCGTAAACCGTTCCATTCTTGCCTGAGACACGCGGATCGAAGTTCTGATTAAAAATGGCCTCTATGTGGTCTGATTTGGTGCCGTGGAATAGGTAGCGTTCCAAGCAACCGTCTTTGGTTTCTTTAAGCTGGCTTTGCATGAACTTTTTTTTCCTGCAGGGATTAAAGATAAGAATCATAAGGCTGTTTGCATCAATGAGTTCTATGGACAATGTATTGTGTAATAAAAACTGGCCAACAGTCCACCCAAAAACTACAATTCAGTGTTTGCTAGATGCCATGGAGGTAACCGTACCCAAAATTTTGATGGAGGGAAGATTTAGAACTGCGGTCAGATTTTAATTGTTGTCTTTGTCCGGGCACAGAGATTTCTCCTTACTTCCTCTTATGTCAGAAGCACATGATGCGGACAGGAAGTGAAGGTAATCTCCCTAATAGGAACATATCAATTAAATCCTGACAGCGGTTCTAAGTCTTCCTCATTCTGCTAGAAAATGTGTTTTATTGGTGTTTATATCAAACGAAATATATAGACACTGGCACTCTAATAGCAAGTCAAATACGTCTGTCTGTCTGTATACGTGATACACTCAATGCCCCGTTTCGTGGGCTCGCAGGATCCCCTTCATCAGGCCGAACAAGTTCTGGACTTTACCCTTATTGGAGTCTATGACCCCATTGGTAGACTACCCCTTGGTTCCCGTTATTCCTTACACCCATCAAGTACACAGTAAGTAGGCATACTTTTCATCACTTCCTGTTCTGCCAAGTGTCAAATAGACATATAGTGAAGGGAGGCTTCTCACACAGTAAACGGTGCCGTCTAATGCACTCCCTACAGTGTAGACACCAGATAGTGCCATCATCAATGGTTATACAAAGTATCAAAGTGACACCAGGACACTACAACTGATGAAAAGAGACAGGGTGCCTGAAAGGGAATTACTTCTGCTGCGCCCCCTCTAAAGATATCCCATAATGCTCTGGGAATCCTTTCTCACTAAATGTTTATTTGCACAACAAAGATTGTATAAATATAGTAAGAAAAGAGATATATAAAACATCAATTTAAAAACATATAAAAGCTAAGAAAAATGATAATACAATTGACCTAAAACCATAATAGTTTCCCTTTAACCCTTGTAAAGTAGCCAAGCATCCTCACAAACAAAAGATAAGCTGGCCACACATCAGATTCCATTGGGATAGATTATTGAAGCTTGTACCACATCACTGGTGTCCCACCTAAGGTCCACCTCTGATCTCTACGACCAAGCTCTTGATTAGGTTAAACGCGTCACGGTGGGTGGACCTCGGGTTGGACGCTTGTAAAGGCTTCAATAAACTTTCCCAGCGGAATCCAGTGAGTGGCCGGCTTTTCTTTTGTTTCTATGTGGTTCTATTGGCGCGAGGACGCGATCTCAGTGGCAGGCACCCATCTCATTCCTTTCCTGAGCCCCGGAGGAGTGGGTGCCTCTTATGTGCGTTCTCCAACCATCTTCACAGACTGATAGGAAATTATAAGATGGACGTACTGTGAGTATTTTGTCCATTGGAAGTAGTTCTGTATTCGGGAGACCTCCAGAATGATGTACTTGGATTCCGCCATCGTCTTGTGGAAGTAGGTATAAATGTACGTGTACTCTCTAGCTGAACAGCTTACGTGGCTCTTCTCATAGATAGGCTTGGGGTAGCTAATGATCCAGGTCTTGGGGTAACAGCTGTCTTCATCAGGGTGGCTTGCGGGCCTTTCCAGTGGATTCAAAGGACAGAGGCAAACAGGGAAGGCTCTGAAGGAGACAAGAGGAATTACATAAGTCATGGAAATACCAACCTTCTTCTATGTTCAGCCGGTCATTACATAGGAACGTTTGCTTGACCTCGTCATCCTATTGTCATTTTAAACTGAATCAATCATCTTTTGTGTAAGTGATAGATCTGAATAAAATGAGCTTCGAGTATTGAAATCCCCAGCTTAGGGTTATGACCTATGACACAACTATCCAGCCCTCCCCTCATGCCAAGGTCCTAGGTGTCATCCTTGACTGGGACCTCACCTTTCTTCCCCACATCCAATCACTATCCAAATCCTGCCGCCTTCACCTTCGTAACATCTCCAAAATACGCCCCTTCCTCACCAATGACACCGCAAAACTACTCATCCACTCCCTTGTTATCTCTCGTCTTGACTATTGTAACCCCCTCCTTACTCTGTGCACCCACAGCACCCACACACACTCTCTGTTCCACAGCGCCCACATACTCTCTGCACCCACAGCACCCACACACTCTCTGCACACAGCACCCACACACTCCCTTCACCCACAGCACCCACACACTCCCTTCACCCACAGTGCCCACACACTCTGTGCACCCACAACACCCACCTACTCTCTGCTCCCACAGTGCCCACCCACTTCCTTCACTCACAGCACCCACACACTCTCTTCACTCACAGCACCCACACACTCTCTTCACCCACAGCACCCACACACTCTCTTCACCCACAGCACCCAGGCACTCTCTTCATCCACAGCACCCACACACTCTCTTCATCCACAGCACCCACACACTCTCTGCACCCACAGCACCCACACACTCTCTGCACCCATAGCACCCAGACACTCTCTTCACCCACAGTGCCCACACACTCTCTGCACTCACAGAGCCCACACACTCTCTTCACCCACAGTGCCCACACACTCTCTTCACCCACAGTGCCCACACACTCTCTGCACCCACAGCGCCCACACACACTCTCTTCACCCACAGCACCCACACACACTCTCTGCACCCATAGCACCCAGACACTCTCTTCGCCCACAGCACCCAGACACTCTCTTTGCCCACAGCACCTACACACTCTCTGCAAACAGCACCCACACACTCTCTGCACTCACAGAGTCCACCCACTCTCTGCAAACAGCACCCACTCACTCTCTGCACACAGCACCCACACACTCTCTGCACCCACACACTCTCTTCACCCACAGCGCCCACACACTCTCTTCACCCACAGCGCCCACACACTCTCTACACCCACAGAGCCCACACACTCTCTGCACCCACACACTCTCTTCACCCACAGCACCCACACACTCTCTGCACTCACAGAGTCCACACACTCTCTGCAAACAGCACACACTCTGTGCACCCACAGCACCCACACACTTAAGAATAATTTTCCCCGGAGTTCTGCTTTCAAGTGTGTATGTTACAAATGGAGACACTAATAGTGAATTATTTGCCAGGATGGTTTTGGTTTGAGCTTTCACCCTACAATCCAATCTACTACCGATGTCATCTACATCATGTCTGCCCCTCTTACCGCAGCTTTTGAACCATTACAATGGGGGATTTGAACACCGGCCGTTTCCTCATCCTCCTCTTGGTGTTAGTACTGAGGTTGGTCTGGACCATGTTGACCAGGTGAAGGGAATATGTGAAACGGGAGTGCGCGCAGAGGACCTCTTCCTGATGCTCCCTGAGGCCTTCCTCTATACATTTCACAAAGTCCTGCATGGAAAAAATTTAAAAATAAAAACGGAATCTTGAAAGAAAAAAAAAAACCATCTTCCTCATAAACTAGTTCTAGCCAGCTCAGTTAGCCCCTTCCCGACCGATGATGGGATTATTCCATCACGATCGTTGAGTTTATTAATGACCGGTGACGGAATAGTCCCGTCATGCGGTACAATGAGCGCTGGTCCATGGAGAGACCAGCGCTCATTGAGTTACTGCTGTGGCTGGGTCCCTCGGGGTCCGAGGCAGACCCTTAACAGCAGATTAGGTGGTCCCAGCCCTGTGATCACTGCATTAGCTAATCGCAGTGATCACAGCACTGTGACAGCCACTGAGCCGGCATGCAGCTCACTGTGTTATGTAGCTGCAAGCCGGCTCAGTGTGTTACAAACTGATACACTGTATCTCTGAGGAGAATACTGTATTCTCCTCAGAGATACTAAGTATCAAAGCCCCTGTAAATAAAAAATAGTAACTCCTTAGTGTCCCCTTGTTTTAAAAAACTAACTAAAGTATTAATAATTTTTAAAAATAAAAAAGTTGTAAAAAAAGTTTTAAAAAATACTTTTAATATAAAATATAAGGAAATATAGTGCTGAGGAGGCTATTAAAAGATAGGAGGCAAACATGCCACATTCTAAAATTGTTCCAAACTAAAATTATATTTCACTCCTTGTACTGTGACCTATAACTCCCCAAATAAACTGAAATCCCAGACATATGATATATACCCTATAAATCAGGACAAATAAAATAATATATTATAAATTAATTCCTGTTAGCTACACTAAAAATTCGTTTTTTTTCTAATTTTTTTTATTTAAAAAAAAGGAATTTCTATAACCATATGTCACATCAAACAAATGGCAAAATTGCTCAGGTCCCCGGGAACTAAATAATGTTCTGAAACTGTGTGACTGAGGAGCTAAAGGAGAACTATGAGGAGAGTGAAATACAGTCATGTCCTAAATTGTCACACGTCCGCTCTATGAATGGAGAACTGATTGATCACATACTCGCTCAGTTTCTAATCCTCTGAGTGATCACATACAGCCGATCGCTCAGTTGCTGATCCTCTCCCTGCAGAGAGTGGTGACTGTCAGCCATCCCTCCTCGAAGGGATTCTCCCCTCCCCTCTCTCTGTTCTTCCAACACTGGCTGGAGGAACAGATGGGGAGGGGCTTGGCATGGTTGGCTCTGGATCTAGAGAGTCAGAGCCAGCTGTCAATCAGGCAGCGGGGTGGATCCTGGCAATATTTTCAGGATCTTTCCCGGCCACATCGCGACTCTGCGCTGTCAGCATGTAGTGGGCAATAGCCCGTGATATGCTGAGTTTTGGGTCACCGGAGAACATAGTATATATCCTCCTGTGACCTTCAAGAGGACTATGGCCAAAAAAAAGGTTCTCTTTTAACTGTTTGTAAAAAATAATCTGGATGCATTCCTAAATGCACAGAATATAACTAGATATTAACATTTTATAAGTCATAAACACCAGGGATTGTGGGTCCAGGGAATATCTGATTGCCTTATGGGATCAGGAAGGAATTTTTTTTCCTCTGTTGGAGCAAACTGGACCACTCTGTAGGGTTCTTTTTTGCCTTCCTCTGGATCAACTGTGGGTAACAATGGACATAGGGATCTGGTTATGGAGGTTTTGTTATGTCCTCTGTTGATTGAACTCTATGGACATGTTACACACTTAGTCAGGCTGAAAAAAGACAGAAGTCTATGGAATTCAGCCTATAGTTGTGTCTTTTTCCAACCTGACTAACCATAACGCCAAGTATTTTGCTTATATCAGCCAAAGTAACAGCTATGGTTTACTGTAGGGTCCCTTAGGAGTATTTCCTAACCTTCTACTCAGTTTGTTCCTGCCAGTTCTACCATTGAAACCCAAGGACATATTTGGTACTTCCAAGTATGGGGAACACAGAACACTCTTTCCTACGGGAGCAGAGGGGGGGGGATATAGTGTAGGTAGGGTATACATAAAAATGAATAAACAACTTAATAACCAAAGATTTTAAAAAATAATGTGTTTTTAAGGTTTGGTCCACTAAAATATGATGTTGTAGTTGTAGCCAAATGGACTGAGTCAGTGTCTGGCTCCTTGTTTTAGATAACTGTGAGATTTCTACCTGCCTGGAAGTTCTTTGTGTCCCCTCCCAGCTTGGTGTGTTCCGGCTCCTCTTGTTACATTTTCCATAATAATAAATACAGAAAGAATCCATCAGGGAAGGTTGGAGCCCCTCATCATTGACACAAGCAGGTGAGCTGACCCAGGAACTGGGTGTAGAGATCTCACCTATAGACCCCCTCCCCCTGTCTGGTTGCTCCAGGCAACTATCAAATTGAAATATCAGTATTTTGGATGGACTTGCCCATTCATTTTCCATTCCCTCTTACCGGATTGTATTCCACCCATTTGTTCTCTTCTCCTTCATAGTAATATATGTAAACAGTGTGGAACTCTTTTGTGGGACAGACTGAGGTGGAGAGACGTCGGATGCGGTCAAACATCAGGCTACTGTGGACGGTCATGGTGGAGAGGTCAATGAGAATATTTAAACCTCTGTTCAGAGAAAGAAGATTCATGTGAGATGAAGAAGAGAGCAGATCAGACTTAAGTACTTGTAAACGCAATCATTACAACCTCACATAAGCATTTAAAATAAAGATGATCCTGCTTATATTTTGCCTTCTCTGGCTCCTCCTTTACCCCTCATCAACCCCCCTCATGCTAATATATTTAAAAAAAAACATTTCCATTTTCGTTTCATACCTTATTTTATCCCCAGTGATGTTATCATTGGATCTCTATGCTTCTTTATGCAATGCAGGCAGATCATGGTTGGTTGGAGGAGCCTGCAGGGGGCTTCAGATAACATAATAACACCCTGCGTCAGTACTCCTGAGCACAGCTGAGCTAGCACCTTTTACGCCAGAGGCAAGAACAAAAAATGTGCCCCCCCCCCCAACAGGCGTGTGACATCACCCAATGCCGCGCATTTGCGGCGTCATGTGACATCATGCGCTCCGCCTCCAGGATGTGATTTTTTTATTTTTTTTATTGTTTATTTTTCTATTTTATTTACAGTCTTTAATCTCTTTTTCTGCAGCCTCTGTTCTAAATTAAAGGAAAGTACAGAGGCTTCCCATTCATTCAGAAAATATTTACTATTAACCAGTTTCTGAGTGGGGAGAAGCCTCTGTACAGAGTGTTACTACCCATTCAGAAACTCATGAATGAACAGGAAGTGATGTAAAGTACTTCCTGTTCATTCATAACTGGGGACACATAGTACTGCTAGCTTCCTCTCAGATCCCCGCTGCTCTCCCCAGAGGCAGCGGGGATCAGAGGAGAAATTAAGAGCTGAAGCCAGCGTGTAGGGGGGGGGGCGGAGTTGGGAGCTGTCACTTCAGGATGGCTGAGCGGTGAGGAGAGAGAGAGCCGCCGGCTGTCAGATCCTGGCCAAGTGGCTCTCTCTCTCCTCACTGCTCTGCCATATTAAAGTGATAGCTCCCTCCTCCACCCACCAGCTTCAGCGCTTCACTTCTCCTCAGATCCCCACTGCCTCTGCCCATACAGGTGGGGGAGAGCAGTGGGGATCCAGAGGAGGAGCTGCAGGCTGTGCCGACCCACTTCTCCCTGCCACACTGAGCCCTGGCTGCGCCCCCCCCACACACACACACACAACAGTGCCTGAGGCGAGTGCCTCAGTTGCCTCTCCCTAGCTACGGCCCTGCTCCTAAATATGCAAGTATCAAAATGCCTTGATGGGTGGATGTCATTCTGGAGGAGTGGGCGTTCCTAGCAGGCTGTATTTTCATGGAGACTACCCTAGACAACACCTGCATATGTTTGCTGAGCCTCCATGATTGAAAGGACTGAAATCTTATGAATGGAAGGTGAAGGCCAGGGACAACCAAGCTATATGATGGTTGGTTGTCCTCCAGCCAGGAAATAATGCGGACTCTAACTGACTTACTGCAGCTTCCTTCTAATTAACCTCTTGGCCTCTTGGACACTGCCGCAAGAGGACCCTACAATGTACAGGTGGTCTGCCTTTGGGAATATGCCTACAACCCCGTCATAAGCCAGCCTGTCATTGATTTGTCAAGCTTGGCCATACACTGCTGTATGGTGCACATGTCACTCCCTGCTAGAGTAATCAGGCTGCATGGATGGAACAAGAATGGTTCATAACCTCTCAGATTTTCCTTGCTGTCGCTGTTCTGGAGGATTGTCCCGACTTCATAGCGCGCTGGCAGAGGTCACCTGAATTGGAAGAGTGTGCATCTCTCCAACAAGGACACAAATTGCAATAAAACACTTATTTTAGGTTTTGTCTGTGTCCCTATGCATTTACCTTTACTTCCTGTCCACTGACTGTGGTCACTAAGAAAGGAAGTGAAGATAAATCTCCCCAACCAACGTGCAAATCAGAAAAAAAAAAAACATTGGCATATGCAGTGTTCTTCTTTGCTTCACATACTTACAGGTGTATTCCAGTGACTTGGGCCACAGCCGGGTCACTGTACAGTCTTTCCAGGACCAGTTGAGCTCCCACGTCAATGCTAAACCAAAGACCCGAGGCTTTGTACTTCAGTTGCCATAGATAAGGCCAAGCAGTGTGGTGCCTTGGGCACAGAAGACCCTGAACGCATCGGCCAATCAAGAAGTCTGAGCAGATGTCAATGTCATCGTTATAGTGGATGAAGTGAATGTTGCAGTTATTGCCAGTCACCAGTCCTTCGGCATGCTGTGCGACCTCACTGGGCAAGTCAACCAATCCAAAGGTACTCTCTGAGCCGAATTCCAGTTGTTGTAGAGCTGTTTCTTCTTGTATAGGGTCTAGTCCAGTGATCACTGGGTAACGGTCTGGCAAAGATAACCTCCTCTTCTTCGCTCTACTTTGATGCATATCTTGTTGAACGGCTAGCAGACTACTTTGGAAATATTTGTCCCGAGTTATTCACACAAAGGAGGATATTTCCCCTTCATTTTATTTTCAGACTCATCCTGCTGAGAAAAGAATAGAATTCTCCTGAAACGTTTTTTTTCCAAGCCAGGTTTACGAGGGTTGATGTCTCATGCTTCTAACTTTGGTGGGGTTCCACTTGCTGGGCACTGGAGTTGTCCTTTGGTTCTAACACAGATTTAGAATGGGAGGCAGTCGATCATTTGCAGTGGCTTCCATATATCCAGTAGCTTGTAACAGTCATTTTGGACACAGTGGGTGTGACTATGAGCACCTGGGACGGCTTTTTTCTCTTGGAGACAAGTCTTGTTGTTGTGGGGTTTTATTCACCAAAACCCAGTATCCGGGCTGAAGTCTTTGGATCAGCTGCAGGGTCTGGCTGGGTGGCTTTGGCTTTCTGTGGGGGGAAAAAAGAGAAGGCCTTGGTTTGTAACAACACCCTGTTTTCTCAGCTAAGGTATCCTACCAGTAAACAGGTCTAATACTAAAATAGTCCTTGTTCAGCCACAGGTGAGGGTAGGCGTGTTGTTTAAGCCATAAAAGTGTATTTCTGGAGAAAATATAAAATATATTCAGTACGTAACTACAGTACATGCACATTTCCACATGTTTTACCCCTTTAAATCCGCAAGTACAACAAAGTTCCAGTTATTCTGCCATAAATTCAGTGTGCTCCTAACCTCCTGACTTTCTAACCTCCTGGCTTTCTAACCCTCTAAAACCTCAACCAGCGTTGTCATCCCTACTTGTTGGGCTACAGAACTCAACCTCGATCTCTCAGCCCTCCTTCTGTTCTTCTCCAAATGTATTCATTGATCTCTTCCCGAGCCGAAAAAAATGCTGCTGCTTTGGCTTCAAAGAGACTACCCACACACTGTATGTTAGGAAAGGGCTCTTGAAAGATGTAGTTGTGGTGGTGTACCAACATTAATAGGAACTAAGCTCCCAGCATTAATAGGAACTAAGCTCCCAGCAGCTACCCCTGCAACAATTTTACAAGCCTGGTGTTAATGTCACATAAAGTAATAAAAACGGTTTCTCTGTAGAACAAGGTTAATGAAAAAATCATGCTGGGACATAATCTAGAGGGGGGTAGGGAAGTCTGGTGGTAAGGTTGGGTAACGCCTTCTCATACTTTTTGACATTTGTGTGACTTTTGACATTCATTTGTCTTCAAAGGGTGTGCGGCCTTTGTACACGGAGCAGACATGTCCTAATTCAAATCTTGGTATAAGGTCCAATTATCATTATTATTATACAGGATTTATATAGCGACAACAGTTTGTGCAGCGCTTTACAATACAACTCAAGACAAGATGGTGAGGAGGGCCCTGCCCCTGAGGGCTTACAATCTAGAAGGGAGGGGGATGTGATGCATGAGGAGGTGGCTGTAATGGGGATGAATTGTTTGAGACTGTGATAGTTCAGTGGTTAGGTTGAGGTGGGATTGGCTTCCCTGAAAAGATGAGTCTTAAGGGATCGCCTAAAGGCAGTCAGAGTGGGAGATAGTCGGACAGCGGATGGGAGAGACTCTAGTAAAGTCCTGGAGGTGAGCATGGGAAGAGTTGATGAGGGAGCTGGAAAGCAGCAGGACTTTGGAAGAGCTGGGGGGACGGTTAGGGTGATACTTTGAGACAAGGTTGGAGATATATCCAGGGGCAGAGCTGTGGACGGCTTTGTAAGTGGTTGTTAATATTTTGAATTTTATCCTTTGGGCGAGTGGAAGCCAGTGCAGGGATTGGCAGAGGGGGGATTCAGACACTGAGCGGTTGGTTAAGTGAATGAGTCTAGCAGCATTTCGGCAATAGCAATAGCGGCATTTCAGAAAATTCAACATGTATAGTCTGAAAAGAAAGCTTTCTAGGAGATGCTTCGCTGTTATCAGAGGTGGACTCCTTGGATTGACTTCCTGATAGATCTTAGAAACCATTGCTGCACTAGTGGGAGGATGAGGACCCTCTCACCTAGAAAAGTGGAAGACACACGGTGACCCACTGAACACGGGGTCACGACCCACTTTTGGCTCACGACCCACTGGTTGAGAAACCAAGGGTGTAGAAGGCCAATAAGCCTTTTTTGGACCACTGAAAAAGACAAAAAGATAATTGATCTGCTGAAGCCTCAAGTGGCATCTAGAAAGCTGAAGAGGCTGAAGAGATCTACAAACTTCTAAATAACTAAAGCTCTCTTCCCTATGGTTTTTAGAGTTATAGCTGAAGGACAAATAAAATCCTGGGTTCTATGAAATAACGTGACCATTTTTGGTAGATACCTAGGATTTGGCTCAATATAGATGGCTAGGATCTGGCTCAATATAGATGGCTAGGATCTGGCTCAATATAGATGGCTAGGATCTGGCTCAATATAGATGGCTAGGATCTGGCTCAATATAGATGACTAGGATCTGGCTCAATATAGATGGCTAGGATCTGGCTCAATATAGATGGCTAGGATCTGGCTCAATATAGATGGCTAGGATCTGGCTCAATATAGATGGCTAGGATCTGGCTCAATATAGATGGCTAGGATCTGGCTCAATATAGATGGCTAGGATCTGGAAAATAGATGGCTGATGCTTAAAAAACCCAAGAGGCACTTGTTGATCTAGTGGAGTGTGCCCTGATAGGAAAAAGGTGGAACACTGTCCTAAGTCTGTTGGCCTGAATGATGAACTGCCTAAGCCACCTAGACATGGAGTAACGAGAAGCAAGCAGTCCCTTCTGGGGATCCTCGGCGATTACCAAGAGTCAGTCAACTTGAAGGACAACATGGCAAACAGAGACAAACATGAACGGCTCATACCTTATCTACACAGTGAAGAGAATCTTCCTGGGATGTATTGAAGCAAAACAGAGGTTAAGAAGTACAATGTCCTGGCTGCAAATGAAAGGGAGAAAAGGGTTCTCATAAGAAAGGGCCACCAACTCAAAACCACACCTCACAGAGGTGATGGGAATGAAGAAGACAACATTGTAGGTGAGTGTTGACAGAAGAATATCTAGGATGTAATTAAAGGTGATATTAGAAGAGATGACAGAATCAGGTTAAGACCGTACATAGTCACAGATGTCTGTACCAGTGGAACTATATGTGCTCGAACTTTGTACAGGCCTTCCCCAAGGAAAGAGAAGCAAGCTGTCTAAGAGTACAGATCTGGTCTTTGAAAGTACTTAAAGTAAGATTAAACTCTCAAATTATTTTACAATAATGAATCCAGATCAAACAAACATACATTGCCCAGCAACGTTTTTCTTTATATTTTTGCCCAAGCACAGTCGTCATATTTCTGAACAGCTGGCTCCAACTCTCTCAGAACTTCCTATTCAGTACAATATTAATAGGTTGGACTTGATAGACTTATATCTTTATTCAACTTCAAATACTATGTAACTATGTAAGTGCAAGGTCACAAGCGACAGCACAGTCTCCAGCAGCTGTCCATCTACGAGCATGGAGGAGGGAGGAAGGATTAGCAGGGAGCAGGAGGTGCGGATTGTCTTGCTCTGCCTGTGTGTTTGTGGAGACTTACAAAGAGGTCCACACGCAAAATCCTTACTAGTATGTCCCTTTTAAGATGGGTGCTGCAGTGATAGTGGATGGCGTCACTTCAAGTAGTAAATTATACCAGCACACCATCAACGAGTGGTCATTTTATTGATGTGCACACATCTCGTCACAAAGCAACATTTCGGGGGCCACTCAGGGTCCCTTCATCAGGCATGACAAGGGTGGCTCCAAAGGACTCTGTAAGGGGAAAGAAGCCAACCTAAAACAGGATATCATGGCCGGTGCTCAGGGGACCGGCTGATTCTGCAGGAAACTAAAACTTTTAAACATTAAGGAGCAGCATCCATTGTAAGTGATTTAATCAGCAATTAATCAACATCAGAATTTAAGATCACTTGAAGGCCAAAGATTGATCCAGACTGAACTATGCCAACCAAGAGCATTGGTAGACCTTCCAAGAGGTGGATTTCCTAGCTTTTAAGAGCATACGAGTAATGGAATCAGATAGGCCCCAGACTTTTAGGACCCGGGTTGCAACAGCCAAGCTGAAAATCCATCAACCGTTAAGTAGGTTTGTAAACCTGTACTTGGGGACAAACGATCTGGGCAATATGGGAAAGCGCATGGAGAGCTTGCAAGGAGTCTGATGAGGGCCACGTCCGCCTGGACCAGTTTGGTGAGAAGAGAATCATTGGAATGGCATCCATCTTGATTGTGTGATGAGAAAGCGGTTTCAGAGGAGGAAAGGCACAGATCAGGTTGAATGGTGTAATGAAGTGTACAGCGCTAAATGCCCTTCAGGAAATTAGATAACGGTAGGGATCATATGGTGTCACCTCCGTGTCAAGCAATCGTGAAACAGTACACTTCATTACACCATTATTCTGTAGGCTTTTAGCCTGAGTTCAGCAGCTTTTTCCTTTTTGGTTTTAGAAATTTTAGCTCCGGGGTCATATTAATATCAATTTTAAATTTTAATCCATCTTAATTTAGTTTTACTATTTCCATTAGCGCAAGTTAGTTTGGTTCACCACAGATCAGGTTGAACTGAACCCACTGAGTCACCAGAGCATCAACTGCCAAGGTAAGGGATCCCCAGATCTGGAGAAATACCTGCTTAATTGTTGTTGAACCAGGGGGTCCACCTCCGGCATCTCCCATGTGCGACAGAGGCCTTGATCTCATGGTGAGATCAGTCCCCGGAACCTAGACAATGACAACTGAGGAAGTCGGAAATTACTGGTATGTGAAGTCCCATCCAAGTCACAGTCTGGCCAGCAGAAGGTTCCAGTGCTGGGGGTTCAGGATCCAGGTGAACCTCTGTAAAGGCTGAACAACTTGTTGGTTAATGACTGATAAAATCTCTGCCAACTGATTTCTTAGTAGGAGGTCATCCAAGTATCCCACTAATGCCCTGAGAGCATAACAGGCTAGCA